GCCTTGACACCATTTTACTCTTATACGGGATGAAACGCAAGGTGGGTTTTGCTTTCAGGATATACCAACAAATTACATTACCTGGCTTTCATTTAGGTCTATGCTACTTTCTTATTATGCTACTTGACTTATTTATATCATCCTATAAAACTAAAAGTTTAATTCAAGTACTATATTATATTCAACGATGTTTAAATCGTTTGAAGATTTTGCTTTTTTAGATTATTTTGAATAGATAAAAATCTAAACTAATTAACAAGCTTTGCGTCCTGTTTAAATCTATCTGAAAATGCCAACATCGCAGCTGCATTTTTTGGAATTAATTAAGTCATAAAAATATACTTTCTAATGACAAATTTAAGAAAATTCCAAGGAAAATTCAYTAATAAAAATATTTTGTTTAGGTTTTGTGCTATTTTTGTCACCTTACTCAATGATGAAATAAAAATACAGGGTGTTCGTTTTTCGAGCTCCACCATGATGATCTCAGTTATTAGAAGAGATTTGTGGTCGGTTAAATTAGGGCAAAACTGCGCATTTTTATGCTGAACAATTATTTAATGTCATTTTTAGTTTTTGAATTATTGAAAAAAAAACACGGATAGTTGTAATTTTTATTTTTATTTTTTCAAGCGTAAACTAAAAGACCTAGACGTTTTTAACTAGGACGATCTTAAGGCACTTTATTACAAGGAATCTAAATCTGTCATCATATTTTCCAAGGCGCTCTTGATATTAGAGTTACAACACTCAACTTTGGATTTTCTTATGGACGTTTCTGTATTTTTGAAAAGTCTTTTTGTTTCTGATTACAACAATGTATCCACACGATATGATGAAATTTTACATGCTGTTCAAAATTAAGAAAACGCGATTTTTCGAAGAGTGCTTTGGAAAAAACGTCATCAATTTTAATTAACAAACTAAATTTTGAAGGTGGTGCATTCGAGCATCTTTCAACACTTTGTGTTGTTTTGTTTTGGAAAGAATAAATCTAGTTCATCATGTTGTTCCTATTTCAAAATCTTAGTTTTTAAGAAGGTAGGCATCCAAATTCAACTGGACTGTCAAAATCTAGTTTCTTGATTAAAAATACAGTGTTGTAACTCTGATTTCAAGAGCGCCTTGAAAAATACGATGACAGATTTAGATTCCTTGTAAGAAAGTGCCTTAAGAACGTCCTAGTTAAAAACGTCTAGGTCTTATAGTTTTCGCTTGAAAAAATAAAAGWGAAAATTACAAATTTCCCTTTTTTCCAATAATGAAAACTAAAAATGACCCATTAAATTTTCTTTCAGATTATTTGTTCAGCATAAACATGCTCAACTTTGCTCTAATTTAACCGACCTCGTATCTCTTATAATAACTGAGATCCCCATAGTGGAGTTCGAAMAACAAACACSWTGTATATAAGCATAAAATATATTTGTTTCGATGAGATACGAGTAATTTATTTAAAAGAMTCGGATTCATGCCCTTGACATTATTMTGCTSTTCTGTGGAATGATTTTAAAGGTAGTAGAATTTACTTCCAGAATATACCWGGAACTTTYAATTGATTTCTTGCAAAGTTCTTTCATAGCCCAATAGAATTTTTTATTTTTTAGTAGTGACTTAACGGGCCTTTTATTTTAATTTATWTAACTAATTTTATTTTAATATTATACAGGCTGTATTATGAAAAAAGCCCCAAGCCMTAACTYCATTATTTTTAAAGTTATGACAATACTTCTTAGAAYAAAGTTGAAYATTTTTTCTCATCTATCTATTATAATAAATAATATATATTAKATAAAAAAAATATTTTCATATTTACGAAACAAGCGAARCGAGTGAAAGCATTTATCGTGTAATTAATAGCCATTATAGGTAATTAAAATACGATATTTTATCTAAATAAATCAGTCTTTACTTTCAAAATTGTTCGAATTAAGACATCAGAGTGATAGATGAATATTATACGACCTATGTGACAGATAATTAATTTATTTTTCATATTCTTTTTTTTTTCAAGTTACCAATCTGTCATATATGTATAATTACTGTGGTGAGTGATTGACAGATCAAATAATAAGGTTTTATTTAAATTGACAATAAATAAATTARTATAGCACATATTTATTTCTTTTATTATTAAATTTGTGTGGAAAAACTAGGACATAATGATATGTTACTTTTATTACGTCGAAGAATTCGAAAGCCTGAACCATTTAATCTGCGACGTCCCGGAATGTATTTTATTACACTTAATTGAAGCCTAAGGAAAATAAAATATGTTATCAGTTTTTTTTTATTGTGGTTCTATACGTTGTCAACCTTTTTTACGTTGTCAATGTAACACAGAAAAAATCCTACACTACCTCAGTGGTTATAAAGGAAATAAGTTATATTAAAACATCTTAAACATGAGGGTGACACCTGCCGATAAACGAATGAACTTAAGTATAGCCACCAATAGAAATTTTGTAAACAGTTTTATAAAATGAATGATAMATTTAACTGGCAAATGTATAACTTTAAGAATGYACTCYAGTTCAGATTTGTTGTTTAAAATTTGTATAAATGTTGCAGTGTTACTTTTTGTATCATAGAGTATACATTACCGCACTCGTATTGATTTTTAGCACAGCCACAAACCATTTCTCATTGTAAAATAAAAACTAAGGCTACCGATATTACAAATTTTTTTGCCACTTTACAATAACAGCATTTCAACACTTTATAGAATTTGAAATTTACTACTTTAGAAAAGATTGTATGTTTAGTTAAAATATTGAACACTAGATGGTGAAAGCAAGGCTTGAAAACACATTTTAACTTCAAAGAACCAAAAAACTGYATGAGTTGTAATATATTTGATGAAACAATTAAGAAACGTAAGATAATTTCTAACAATGGTAATTAAGAGATAAATAAAAGTGGCAATAAAATTATGGTGAAGGCGTCGGGACACTACATAATTAACGGCGCTATTAAACAGWCAACAAGGTGATTCAAAAGTGTCGGACCAACTCTTGAATGGTGTTAAAAAACTCTTAGCAAGTAAGCAAAAACATGAATTCAAATTTTTTTCTGAGAAAAAACAGAATTGACAAAACTGACAATTTTCATATTATAATACACAGATTCCTTGAATAATGAAAGAAGTTTCCTTTCACCCGGCTGGTCGCATTCATTAGTTCCCTGCCTTTTTTTGGTTCCGAGAGGGAGCCACAATAAGATATAAGATTCTGACAGTTAATAAGGTTATGTGCTGTTACGTGGCTGTCAATGGAAAGTAAAACAGCGTTAGTTTTAGCGGTATATTTATAAAAACAAAATTATCAATTTTCATATTATCACGTAGGCATCTTAGTTTTTTTTATTACCGATGTTGTTAGATTTAATTTTCCTACGACCATATACGAAACTAGATCATAACGCACAATTACATATGCGCGAAAATTGGCAATATCGTACGAGGTCGAAAACCTGTGCGATTTGTTTTCGCACTGTGTGTTAGAAATCTAACGCACAATTCACACTCAAATGCTTTGTATTTTTTCATTCAACGTATTTTTTTTGTTTCCATTATAAAAGATAAATCGTTATGAAAAAAAAATATGTTCGTAAGAAAAAAAAAATTTATGGTCGTAGGCAAAATAGTGTGCAAAACTTGCAGGAAAGTGTCGAACGCACTCGCGGTATTGCCTGCACTCGGCTAACGCCTCGTGCACAACTTTCCCGCTTGTGCGTTATTTATCACTTTCCGTGCTCGTTATGTAATATAGTATTTTTGTTGAAATTGCTTGTTTGTTTGTCTTTTACACCATAAGTCACAAATTGGTGATTCTTTTCAATAGGTACTCGTATCTGTCGAGCCCTACAAGATCTACTGTTTCCGCTAACTAAATTTAAGATTACATAATTGAAAAAAACTTAATCGGCCAAAAACTTAAWCCAAAATGTAATTTTTGAAAAGCTATAGGGTGCGCCAGAACTTGCGCCCCAGAAAAAAAATGCCATATAAAGTAAGATACCAGGAACATGAAAATAATTTTAAAAACATTCTATATCTATGTATAAAAATTTCAAAGTTATGAGAACTTAAATTTTATTTCTGTTGGAAAAATAATTTTCCAAGTTTTTTTGCTATAGGCTATTAGAATAAGAAAAAAGGAAGCTGTGTTCTAAACTGTAGCTCTTTTTAATGTTATTTTGGCTTTACTAAGTAATTATAAAAAAAAACACATACAAGATCATCAGTATCATTAAATAGACATAAAAAAATGTCAAATGTCAAAAAATAAATGTCAAAATTTTATCTTATCTTACTTGAATTTTTTTTCTGGTGCGCGAGTTCTGACACACCCTATATCTCGTGAAAAAAGGCTGAAACAATTTTTTGCCACGGGAACTTTTAACTCAGTTGGATGTCCTATACTATCACCCAAGAGATGGTCAAGATTTTTTAATCACCCTGTATACCATTAATTTTAACWTATTTTTTTGAGACTTTAAAATAATAAATCTGATACAATCAATACATATTATAGGTATAATTAWTCTTTGTGTCCAACAGTTATTATCTCTCGTGTTTATCATAATTACAAGTAATATGTCATAGTGACGGAGAAATAGCTTGAACCATTTCAGTTAAATGATGCGTCAAGTTCAATTACTGAATTCATCAGTTTCGACAGTAATATCAAGCGYTTTTAGCACTGCAGTATGTAAGTAAGGCTTGAACAATTTATWACTGGAAGCTTTATTACAAAACACAAAGCACTTAAAAWTTTTATATTTTTTGAAACTGWACCAATAAAAATTGTGCAATGCATTTAAAGTGACAAAAATAAACATATATGTATATAAAGAAGTAGTACGTTTTAATGGTCCTTTTAATATGATTTTAAACCGATCGAAACGTCTAGAAAATTTTCAAAGCAAATGTCGTCCTTTAATTCTGGGAAAATGTAAATACTACTTCCATATTCTGCGTGATGAAAGTGTAAACTCACCGTTTGTGCGACAGCATAGATTGGCTTGTTGATAATCCTTGTAGGAGTGTTGGGAAAKGGCATTCGATCCAACGAATTCCATTCCTTGAGTTTTCTCCKATGACTGTAATAGCGATAAACAACAATTGTCATCGCGACAAAAAGGGCCATGCCGGTTCCCGCAGCAGCTCCTAATACTGCCGAAGCCACCATTTCTAGAAAGGAAAACTTTATTCGGTTTTATTGAAAGAAATCTGATATCTGGAAAAATGTGCGGAATTCAAGGAGTTGTGCCAATCTCGTTTCAAAACGACTTCGTGGACTTTGAATACACCGAAAGGGAATCTCTGGAAAAAATTAAAAGTTTGGAATCGCTTGTAAACTAAAACCAAACATAAAAGAAATTTAAAATACTTATATTTTTTTGGTAGATAAAAGACAGAACAAATTATAATTCTCCTTGTGTAGGTACACAGATTAACCCAATGGTTGGAGAAGTAAGAAAAACTACGTTTCACCCCAAACGAGTTTCTAAAGCAATTAAAGTGAAACATTTATTTCGAGTTGGAATTATTCTAACATTACGTGACGAATTAAGCAACCTTTTACAAAAAAAATAGAAGAGAAATTTTTCCCAATTTTACAACTGGCGCCTTAGCGAAAAATGCCATCTAAGATAAGATAACAGAAAAATGTATAAGAATTTCTATCTACACAAATTTGTAAATTAGAAGATTTTATACATATTTTGCACTTTATTTATTTATTCCGTTGGAAAAATAATTTCACATGGTTTTTTGCTGCAGGGTATTAGAAGAGGAAACAAAGAAATTGTATTYTAAATTGTAACTATGTTTAACGTTATTTGTGGCTTTTATTGACAAAGTTTTTGTACCTTTACCTACTGAATAATTATGAAAAAACATACACAAAATTATCGGTAACATTAAATAAACACAAAAAAAGTCAAATGTAAAAAAAATACGTAGAATTAAAAAAAAAATCTTTTTCTTTTCTATGTTCCTAGTTTCTTATCTTACTTGTCATTTTCCTCTGGGGGACAAGTTATAAAACACTCTGTATAAATAGTTACCATAAATACAAAAATATTATTTATACGCCCACTTAATACACCATATTTTATCTGATAATGTTGTTTTTATCCATAATCAATATTATGTCACATTTTCGTCGCCATCCGCTAAAAAATCCGTTTTGAGATGCACTCTGTATCTGACATGAATTTATCGGTTTTTCTATTAAACCAAGTAGAACATAAATTAATAAAACTGTCTCAAAACATGTCCTTGACATTTATGTCAATGGCACATGTCTCGTAATTGTCATCTTCCAGATAAATCAAGCTTTTCAAACGCATTAAATTATTTTTGTTGAAGCTTAAATTATTTCGTGTAAATCTTGAATAAGTGTTAAATTTAATTCCAGTTTGCTGTTTACTTTTTATCTCTCGCCTCATCATAATCAATAGCAGTTCACTCATCGATAATCACAAATCGGTTCCAGTCGCAATATGGGTGGCTGTCAATGATTAGATTACATTGACGTCACTTAATTGGACCTCATACAAAATGTTTGGCTTCAAAATGTTACGTTTTGAATCGCGTTGAAGATTAAACGAGAAAAAAATATAAAAGAATGTACTTGTGAAGCAAGAATAATAAATTGTTGACAGTAAAAATTTTTAATTTTTGAAAATTTTCTTACGCAACAAATTTTTTTTTTTGAAATATTGAAGGAAACCATAGTCACTTCATTTATTATTTCATCTAATCCTCTGGAAGAAAAGAGATCGAATTTATTGTTTAATTTTTTTATTTTTTTTAATTAAAAACAAAATATGTATAAGTGAAAAACCTTAGTTGGTATTCTCTGCATGTTGAGTAAAATATAAGAATAAAATTTTTTGTGTTTTACAATTTTTAACTCGTTGATCGCTACTTATTACAATTTGCGTCCATTTTAGAGTTAACACAACGGATAATTATGGTGAGATTGTAAACACAGGCGTCAATAACCTTCCACTAATCTATTTATGAAATTCCTTTCCTAATTTTACAAAGTTTCAACCAAGTGATCTCAATTAAAACTTTCCTGGGCGTACTTTTTATCAAAACACATAAAAACGTCAAGAAATCATAAAAAACGGTTAAAATTAGAAGTTGAGTGGGTATATAAATTCCCTTTACCGGAGTTCCACCTGTAATCGATAGGTTGAAAACCTAATCCCGTTGCACTTCTTAAGATTATCTCCTGTTATTGGAGCCGAGTTAATTAGCGTTAATTTTCGCAAATTAAACATCAACAAGATTTGCTCTGCGATAAACAAGAGTAGCTTCTGGTTAGTTTTAAAATAAATGAGAAAAGTAATTACAAATTCTTATTGGCCCGGCGCATCCACCATTTTTATATATCAAAGATGTTTACTAAAAACTTGTTTCAGAAAAGTTCAACTGAAATAAATTTTATGCACCGGTCAAAACCAAAARTTACAACAGCTTTCGACTATAAACATGCAAATTCAGGCGCAGAAATGGAATTCAGCTAGGGAAATTCCTCATAAGGGACTTTGGGGGTAACATAGGAGTCATCTCAACTCGAAATTTCATACGTAACATGCATAAAATTTTATACACTGTGTAATAAAAGTTAAGTATTAGCAAGAAAATGTCAAAGTAATTATCACAGAATTGTCCCGGTTGTCATGCTATCAAATTCTTTTATTACTGTTGTAGCCTCTGAATGTTCAATCTTTAACGCGAAATTAAGGTAATATAATAAATATGGAAAAATATGAAACCTTGGACATTAAATTATGTTGACTCATATCATGAATAAATTACACGAAAATTATACCAAACTGTGCAGTCAATTAGGTGCACAAAAAATAACTTTGTTTTTACTATACTTAACTGCTTTGATATTTGATAACCAGCTTTAAACGCTAACTTTTACAAGTAACGTACTTACATAGTTTGTTTTTGTTTGAAACAGTAACTATAATAATATATTTTATGTCAGAACTCGCGCTCCAAAGAAAAATTGCAAGTAAGATAAGATACCGGGAACATAGAAAAAAATGTTTAAAAATTCTATATGTCTACAATTTTGACATTTAATTTTTGACATTTGACATTTTTTATGTCTATTTAATGATATTGCGATGATCTTGTACATGTTTTTTTATAAATATTTAGGAAAGGTACAAAAAWWTTTTTTACACTTTTTCCATGTTCCTGGTATCTTACTTTATATGGCATTTTTCTCTGGGGCGCGAGTTCTAGCGCACCCTGCATATTAATATTTCAGACGATTGTTTACACTGGTTAAACGTAACATTTCCAAATTATATTGAAGATATTCAAAATTCCTCTCAGCCAGTCGGTCTCCAAGGTCTTTTTTTTTGCCAACAAAAACCACAAATAACATTAAACARAGTTACAATTTAGGATACAGCTTCCTTGTTTCCTTTTCAGTTTCAAATTTAAACTCTCATAACGTAGAAATTTTTATAGATAGAATATTTTTAACATTTTTTTCATGTTCTTGGTATATTACCTTACATGGCTTTTTCTCTGGGGCGCGAATTCTAGCGCACTCTTTATGGCAAACGTTAAAATATAAAAAAAGTCGCCAGCAAACCACGACGTAACGTTGTTTTTTAATAATAAAATTTCTAAAGCTATGTGTATAAAAACGTTAATTGTGTGGCGATGTTATGTGGTTTCATATATTGCCTTGTAGTTACAATGCTTCATTTGGGCCACCATTACGGTCAAAACAGGGTTGTTAATTCACAGTAAAAAAGTATGAAATGGATTTTTACTATTCTAATTGTTTTTTGAAAATAGCTATCTAATTATTGATCCATAATAATAATAATAATAATAATAATAATAATAATAATAAATGACAACGTCATTAAACTGCCATTACCGTTGTCTAATTAATAAAAAATTAATATAAAGTTGCATTAAAAACTCATAAACGAACTAAATTTTAATTTCCACATTTTGAAACACATGTCTCAAAAGGAAATTCATGAAAACTAAAGTTGTAATAACATTGAAATGAAATTTTCTTTTCCAAAAWGTTGTAATGGTGCCTAGCTAAAACACTTATTTTTCTTATGCTTTAAAACTTAACAGCAATAAAATTTTATTAGCAAATTTTCAGGCTATTCTGACCTAGAAAATATACTTACTGCGTATTGGCATACGTTTTGGTTACACCCTATATATTGAAATGTTTTATTAACAACAGATTTAGTATGTGATTTTAACAAAACAATCGTTTGTTTCTAAAAGTAACATAAGTACACTGGTAGCAGTTACCAAATCAATAAAAATAACCTAAATGTTAAAATATTTAGATTTTATTTTAGTAGTAAGTTCTCACTTTGTCGTTGTATAAATTTGTGACATTAACAGTCTTTATTATCTCTCAGTCTCCAAGTTAAATAAAGACATTCGCGTTTTATTTTCTAACAAAACACAGATGTCTATAGACACAATGAAATGTTGATACATGATAGCATATACAAGCTGTCCCAAAAGTCGGTTTAAATTTTGCACTTTGATTTGATTTATTTCTGTCAAAAAATAGTTCTTTTTTATCTCCAGGCTATTAAATTGTAAAACAAAGAAGCTGTATCTTGAATTGTTTAACGTCATTCCTGGCTTTTGTTAGCAAAGTTTTTGCACCTTTCTTAACTAATTATGAAAAAACATATACAAGATCATCGATAACAATAAACAGACATAAAAAAGGAAAATGTCAAAAAATAAATATCAAAWTTTTTTTAACATTTTTTCCATATTTCTGGTATCTTATCTTACTTGGCATTTTTTTCTGGTACGCGACTTTTGAAATACCTCGGGTATTTTTTGCAATCTACGAGAGTTATCTTTTTACAAGTAGAACAGAACTGTTAGGTCCAGTTTTTGCTGGAAGGAACAAAATTAAAAGAAAACCTATTATTCTTCCAATCAAACATGTTTTCTAAGTGCYATAAATCAAATGTCGCGGCTGTGATAAACGCGATTACAATTCACACCATAACAGGAACAAAAGCAAATTTGTTTTGTAGTCTTTTTTATTGATGGAATACTGAAAATTGAACAGTTATTATGTCGTGGAAACAGCTGTGAAGGATTAATGGTTTTTTGATTGTCATTCTCTTGTTAATTAAAAGCATTTTGTTTTCAAACTGTGAAAAGTTAAAGCTTTTATTACCACTTTAGAGAGTTTCTATCTGGCATCTAAATGGGAAATCTGTAATTATTTTAGACATAATAATCTCTCAGGATTAATAATAATTGTAATCAATATAATTAAACTAATGAGCATTTGATCCTCTTATACTCAAACTTTCAAATACTTAAAGTGTACTCTTATAATGAAACTAATAATAATATACAATGTGATTGTAGGTTATTAATTTTTGTTTACTACCAAATTCTAAATGAAAGTCAAAGATTCTATTTTTGTCTCTGAAAGCACAAACTCCAATGAAACAGCATATTAATGACATCTTTGTTTTCAACATCATTTCAATCAATAATCCTTAAATAAAACCAACATTTTGTGTTTTTTCAGAGTTTAAATTTATCAAGTCACATTTCAAACAACTACCGAATTTCCAAAACCTATCGACAACGTGACGCGCAATTTTTAACTAGCCGACAAAAGCTTTCTTAATTTACCGGAAATTTGTATTCCGAGTAGAAACATTTTTGAATGAATTGGGGAAAAAAACGCAACATTTCGTACTTATTAATTTAAAGTAATTTTATGTATAAAAATATAAAAATTAACATCGCATCATTTCGAAAAATAAAATTTGTGTCTAAATCGCTCGTAATTGTTACTTACCGGAAGCTGCGTTTGGGGGTGAAGCCGAAAAAGTGGAAATTAATGAACAGCTGTTTGAATTTATTGTTGACGCGTCCTGAAAGAACCTTGTATGCTACACGGATTCAGAACATGAGAGTGAGTGCCATAGAGCTTATCGCGAAAGCTCGATGAGATCGGATACCTTCGTCGGTTACCGGAAACGTGTTTTCTTGCGTTGCCATTGATAATGATGTTATCTATTGCAAAGGGAAAAACAAAACAAAAGAACCGGGAATCTTCTACAAGGTATTTAAATTGCTAAAGTTTACTTCTTCCACTAATTGAATACTTCAAAACAAGAATATGCTTTTAGAGAATGCAAGAAATAAAAATTGGGACTAAAAATCACTGAAATTATATTTGCTTTAAATAAATAGATTTAATAGGAGTTCTCAGTCACGATTCTTGATGATGCTACTTTCGCTCACCTTTAATAAAATGTATAAAATTGTGGCAAAACATGATCGATGATGGGATTTAAAGCTTAAAAGCTTTAGTAAAGGAACTATTTAACGGTTTTTAGTATGAATTCAAAATTTCAGTATTCATGATTGTTACATTTTTTTATTAATAGAATGCGAATTACAAATTAATAACTAAATTATTGTTATTAGGACAAATAAGTGTATTGAGAATTTAGGTTTTAAAAAAGATATTTCAGTGGGCTTAAATCAGTCTGAGACTGGTTTTTACATTTATAAACGCTTTTATAACTGTTAAGTTTGTCTAGAAGAAATATTATTTAAAGAAAACAAAACATCATAAAAACATAACTTCAGTCGTCTGTTTTCAACTCAATTTTCTTACTCTGTTAGTCTTAGCCTTGTGATAAAGTCCGTTATTTCATATACATTTTAAGTTCTGACGCAAAAAGGAAGTCTTACATTTACAAAACTAAAAAAATTTGATACTCTAGCACTCTAGCACATCTGCTAATTAATTCACACCCACACACTTATTTAATATTCCCTTCTTTGAGTAAATATGAAACTTTATTTTCTCTGTCGGTTATCGAATTTCTCCTATTTAACATAAAATCGATAACACCACTTTTAATTAAATTTTTACTTGATTCTGCTTTCACATTTTTTTAATTTGAATTACTTGAGTATGAATTAAAGATGATGATTATTATATACGTATGTGGGTTRATATATTGTTGCTGTATTGTATATTAACAACTAAGATCATCTTTAGATCAATTTTCCAACAATTGGCAACTTTTTTTATTACGATGTTTACAAATATTATTTTTTATACCTAGTGAACTTGTGTATGCATTATAAGAGGTTATTAGCAAATGATAACTATGAAAATTTTAAAACAAACCACTAAAAGAACTTCATTTTAACATCCATGTTTCCRGCAGATCTGWGGAAACCTTACAGAAAACAAATTACCGTTAAATGTTAGATAGAAACCAATAGAAAATGTTGTAAACAACTTAATTTCTCTTGCTGTCGTCGTCCTAGAATAAATCGGTTACACACAAGTGTAAATCGATTTTCTTCTGTAAATGAAATTAAGTGATCTTGATTTTAACCGCACTTTGATTAGCTCACATGTACTAGTATATTTTTAAGTTTCTAAATAGTAGATTATGTTATTTGAGGTAAAAGTGAGTCTTTATGTAGCAAAGCTAAACTACAAAAACTTACTTTTACTCCATACAACATATTTAATACAGAGTGTGTCAGAACTTGCGCCACAGAGAACAATTTTAAGTAAGATAAAATACCAGGAACATAGAAAAAATGTTTAAAAAATTCTATCTGACAAAAAAATTTACATTTATTTTTGACATTTCAATTTTTTATCTGTTTAATGATACTACGCTCATAACTTCAAAATTTTTATAGATAGAATTTTTTTAACATTATTTCCATGTCCCTGGTATCGTACCTTACWAGGCATTTTTCTCTGGAGCGCGAGTTTTGGCGCACTCTGTATACAATATGTAAAAGGTAATGAAATCAAGCTACAATTTGCTAAAAGATGTTAGTTGGTAAAAACCTTAAAACACGTCAACTTTTAGTTTAAAAATGCAAAATTTAATGCACATCACATTATCGAGATTCACCCCCTGTACTTTCMACAGCCCTCTCCAATATTTTTTTAAATGGCAATGTACTTCTTACACCTCAAATGAAAATCAATTCAATAAGCATTTTATTGACGTAGTCAGATGTTAAATTAAGAAAAATTAATTGAGAAAAAATAATAGTTTTTTTTTAAGTTAGGTATCCGGGTCACTACTTCTGCCCATCTCGCGACACTCTTCATAATTGTCAATCTATTGTTAGAATACTACATACATATTTACACAAGCTGTAACATAAATCAATGCTAAACCCTCAACAAATAAATGTTCAAATTGTTGCAAATTCTTTAATTTAAAAATTTGTTATATTTTACTTTGTGGTTTGAAATTTTTGTGGCGTGTGAAAGTTTTAAGGGTATTTTGGCAATGGAGTACATATTTAATGTCGAACCAATGTTAACCACTTAGTTAACATATTCACCCATAATACAATTAATTCAAATAAATTCAAAGAATCATTCAAATTAATTAATTCAAATACCAGACAAAAAGTTAAATTTTCCTAACCTGTGTAATTCGCATTTATTTTAAAGCAACAAGCCATTTTGATCAGAAATTTAATTAAACGCATTTCTTATTGATAATAATAGGTGGAGCTGTGTAAAATATGTTTTTTTGGATAACTTTGATGATATTAAAATGATTTAAAATGGTTTATTTTGTACTTAATGTTAAAGAGTGCTTTTATCAACTAATTTCAGTAAATAAAGTAGCATTTTATCGTCTAGTGAAAACTTAACCTTTTGACTCGTAGATAACCAATTTCTTTATCGTCTTGTACAGAGCGATCAAAAAGTCTGTCTATCAAGTAAGCCTAGAAATTTAAAACGTATGTCTGCGGAAGATAAAATGTCATGACAAATAAGAAATGTCAAAATAATTTTTATGTAAACTGTAATAGCCAATTGTGGTGAACGATTTGTCTGAATAAACACCAACTAGGTACATCTCATTTTAGGATGTTTTAAGACGTTCCATGCAGTAATTTTTGCCATCTAGCTGACATAGGTACATACCTATGTATGTACGAACTGCCAGGCGACATACGTCCTCAACTAGTACACCTACTTGATAGAAAGACTTTTTGATCTCTCGCACTGTATAATAAATAACTATTGTTTTGGGAATGTATTTTGGATTATATGCTTAAGTGGGTGTAATCTAAAACTTTGTCACTATATTCGCAACAAAACACAGACAAGTGTTTGGTTTTTTTATTTTTTGGAACGCACTGTACGATAATTACCAGATTTATTATAAGGATAGCTTATGAATTTAGAAAAAAAATTTCCTTTTTAAAGTAAAGCTGAGTTTCTCTTATACTTTTTTCAGTCAATTTTCTTGAAATTAGATACGCAGATTTATACTCCTGGGTTGATTTATTAGATCTTGTATTGCGCTAAATTWGTAACAAATTTCTTTTTACGTATTATATTATTAGAGAAAAAAATTTGCGATCATTGTCCCATTCTTGAAAGCCATCTGCCAATTATTTTTCGATATACTTATTAGATGACTTTTTTAACAAAAAAGCCTGAAAGCAAGTGTAATACATTTTATTCAAATTACCTTGTTAGTGAAAAATTGGAAAGTAGGCTATTTCAACTCCATTCAACAATTGATATGAAATATCAGACTCAGGTAAGGAAGTGGTCACTTTCTTATAAGTTTATAATATCTAATACGACAGTTTAGGTTGGAAAATGGCCACTTCCCAAACCGAAAATTAATAAGGAAGAGACCACTTTTAATTAATAATTAATAATTAATATTTTTCAGTGGTGTTCAAACATTGGTGTAACTACCTTAAATTTTTGTGATTTAAAATTATTAACGTAGATAGTTTCAAACACAATGAAATCACAAAATTTGATTTTTTTCTAATAACTATCAAAGTGCATATTAGCCATAACTGAAATAATGGAATAAATTCCACGAACAATCTGCAACCCGATTTTTAGTATTTCAGCACATTTGAAGGCTTTGTTACCGTAAGTCCTAATTGATAATTAATTGAATAATTTTCAGAAAATTTAATTGTCCAAGGTTGCATAAACATCATTAGTAGAATCAAATAGTTTTTTTTGTTACTTTCGTTAAAATTATACCATTTAATATTGTATATAATAGTATGAATACCATTGACCTAAAATTGTAAATTACTATTTATTTATTACAAATCAAATTTTAATTAATTCACCTTGGATTCAATTGACTGTCCAGCAAGAATAAGAGCCACAAAAGTGGATGTTGCAGCAATAGATATAAATGCGACACGCAAAAAATGTTCACGATAAAATATACCCTAAAAACAAACTTATATTTGATTGTGCAAATAACATATTACATACCGAGAGAATATAAAACGAAATGCTTATTCCTAAAAGACATCCACATAAAGAAAATGCCACAATTAAGTTTCTCATTTGTTTCATTTTTTTGTTGTTAAACCTAAAAACGTTTGCTTTTAATACATTAAGGGCCAATTTCATAATCGAATGAAAGGGACTTTAAAGTTAATGTTGGTTTAGAATGTGCTGATTACTATGGACTTGTTGATAAAAATTTGACATTCTAATTTTAAAGTCCCTTTAATTCGGTTATGAAACTGGCCCTAAGAACATTATTTTTACTTTAAAAACTGAATATGTCTAACTACGCAGCTTTGCAACCTCTCACTGACCACTGCTTGAAAATGCTCATTATAAAATAAGCAATCTTCACTAATTTCTTCTTCACATTGTATCACATTCTGGATATATTCTGTGAAGAGGATGAGTTGAAATCTTGAGTGTTGAGTGCAATAAATTATTTGATAAGCGTGTACAATCATAACATATCCCATTGCTAGAAATGTTGTTCTGTATACATTTTTGCAAACTTTAGCATGGTCTGGGATTTTCTCTTCTATAAACCTGATAATGTAAAAAGTCTGATTGTCAGAATCAAGCGGTGAAAAATACA